ATCAAGAAATATTTTTGTTGATAACACAATGGGCAGTGATTTAAATACAGAAGACACTAAAATTCATCCCTTTCGAATCAATTCAAAGGGATTCAAATATAACATCAAGTGACTTAATAGTACCAGTGACTGTTGTTATTAAATCTGGATATTATTCTTTTATCAATGACATAATTTAGTTTACAAAATGGTTGTTTAAAATACCATTAAGTAAAGTACAATACCACACCCGTTACTATGACAAAATACCCAAATGAACAACCACCAATTATCACAAGTGGCGTCAAAATTCAAATATATTCACTTCTCCCATTGAACTCGATAACCAACAAAGCATAATATGAAAAAATCCAAAGTTCAAAAAGGAAGTTCATCCAAGTGTGTGATTTAAATAAATTGTATAACTAAATTGACTTGGGTATTTTTGGCGCAGATTCAAATTCTGAGATCTATGTTGACGACAAGCGTTTTCGTGTCACATAATACCCAAATTACGAATACACTGATACAACACACCAAACAGAAAAAATATACATATTACCACCAATTGATACAACTGCTCACACCAAATGTGACTGGATTTTACATCCAAAGAACAGAAATTCTATGTGGCAATGAGTCGACTTTTAAAAGTGAGAAGAGTGTAAATAAATAATATTATTAACTCTATAAGAACGATTCCAAATACCAGTCACTATCAATTCGATTCGATTGTACCGCACCGACACGGGATGACAGGGCATATTTTATAATCAGACGTAATTTAAAAATTGGAAAAGTCAACGCTATTGAAGAGTCTGGTGCCATGTGGAATCCTGTGCTTCAGCAGCCAAACTATACATACAGAGAAAATATGTGGACTGCATACACACCAGACAAGACTGGGAGAACATTTTATCATGCAATTGAAAAATTAGATGAATATGCAAAATATGACTATGTGTGGATGAGTAGGTATTAGCTCATCTTTTCACAAGACCAAGTCGTAAAAGGATAATTCGATAAAAACAATAAAACAATCAAAATTGATTGAAGAGTTGAATGAAGAAGGTGAGTATTTTATCGATTATAAAAAGAAAAAACTGTATACCTATTTGCCTGTTATAGTTGATAAATTGTGGATATTCAAAAGCACTTTATTTTTAATTAATGTCGACACGTTCAATGGTTTGACTATTGAGAATATTATATTTGAATATACACGAAAAGACATGATAAACAATTATTCATCTACAAACAATGTAATCAGAAATTGCGCATTCAGACATTCGGGTTGAAAAGTATTTATTTATATAGAAACCATTCAACAATAACAAAAACATAATTTTGATATTGGGGATGAGGGGGTTTTGATGAGATGTGGTTTGCTGTTTTTGTTTCTTATAGTTATATTTAAAAATATATTATAACAATTAATATGAAAATTATAATGAAAAAAAATGTGAGTATAATTTCTAAAAATGATAATTGATGGATTGTAATATTATGAATCAATTGAAATTAATTTTCAAATAACAATAAGGAAACTTCAATTCATTATATAGGGGAGAATGCTATCTGACACATAACTATGCGAACACAACATCACAAGTTTTTTTTACTTTTGTTTCAGCTTTTTCTATTGGCATTGTTGGTAATTACATGAAGCACAATTGTGTAAAATACAATCCCCACTTGGGATATGCACACAATGGTGTTTAATTAGAGATTGCATACAATGAAGCCAGAAACATACATACCTGAGCTTCAGATTGTGGTGCATTATATTCTGAAGAACATTAGGTGTATTCAGGTAATGTTATCAAACGCGATTTTCTCCACAACTCCACAAGATACAGTCAGCCATATTTTAATGTCATTGGAATTTACTTAGACGACAACCTCTCAAAGCAAACAGTCTACCAAAATATCGTTTTTAATTTTGTAGGCCATTGTATTAATAATGAACTATACCTTAACTTGCACACCTTGGGGAGTCACTTTATGTAAAAAATATAATTGAATTGTTTTTATTGCAAATACTATCATAATAGTTAATGGTTATTATACAAAAATTATTTACAATATTTAATAATTAATTTATATAAATATTAAAAATAAAAACATTGGTTTAAACTAATTACTAAGTTTTTTGGTATTCAAATCGCAATAATAATTATCACCATCCAAAGTCTTTTTCCCGATTTCACAGTTTTCACATTCAGGAGGAGTCATTTCCACATCAACGAATTGACTAGAAGAACAATGAAGTTTAAGCACATCATTGTTACCAAATTTGGAAGACAAATAATTGTCTGTTACGAAAATTTTCAAATCCTTTTTAAATTGAGTAACAGGAAGTACTTTTGGTTGTCTTTTTCCATGGTAAAATAAATTTTTTTGTGATTGAAGAGAATCCAAAAGTTGTTCAATATTGCCATATAAATTTAAAGATTCCAGTTTATCACAATCCTCAAAAGCACTCTTTCCAACATATTTTAAATTTTCCGTGCCAACAACAAGTGAGAGACTTGAACATCCAGCAAAGGTTCCTTCTGGCATTTCGATATTACCTCCAAAATCCACAGTATTTAATTTCAAACATTTTTCAAAAACTGAATACATTAATTCCGTTTCAGGTACTTTAACTGAAGTTAATTGTGTTTCAGAAAAAGCTTTGCTTCCAATATGAGTAACACCATTGCCAAATTTAATCGAAGATAGTTTAGTTCGTTCAAATGACATTTCCCCATAATATGTCACTTTTTCCGAACCAATCAAAATCTCAAGACTTACACAATTACTAAACGTATAATCCGGAATTTCAGTAATTCCTCCAAAATCAACAGACTTCAAATTTTTGCAATCTTCAAAAACACTTGTATGGAATCCTTGTTTTGGTTTGTCTCTGGGAAGAATCACAGTTTCTATTTTTGTGTTTTTGAAGGCTTCATACCCGATTAACTGAACATTATTCCCAAATGTCAAAACTCTTAAATTGCTGTTCAAAAATGCACCATCGCCAAAAAACGTAATATCTGACAAATCACCTACAAACTCAAGTGATGTGCATCCTTCAAAACAACTTTCTGGTATATTTTGAACTTTATGTACATCTATAATTACAAGCGAATGACAATTTTTAAAAGCGTTTGATTCCAATGAAACAATTCCACCATAAGATGTTACTGATACCAATTTTGTTGCACTCTCAAACCCGAATGTTCTTATTTCTAAACCATTCTTCCCTTCATATTCAATACTTGTGATTTGATCATTGTTCTGAAATCCAAACATACAAATTGCTGGTGGTGCATCAGATTTGATGACAACTTTTCCTTTACATGGATCATCTCCATCTAAGACACACTTGTTATTTTCATCAATTTTATAACATTCCGAGCCAAAGGAAAAACAGACAAGACAATGTAAAATGAATAAAAGTATCATGTTGTGATTATACAGTTTTTGAAATGTAATACGTTTGTTTGTTGTTTGACTTCAAAAAAAAATTGTTATTTTTATTAAAAATAATTTAAAAACAAAAATAAGTTTATGTTATTCTTTTTTTTAACTTATTCTAATTGTAAAAAATGTTTCATAAACATTATACATATAAAAACATCAAACAATTCTATTAGAGTACTTTTTATTGATAATAAACTATTAAATTAAATATCAAACCAATTTTGGTAATTATCAAAAACA